AGGACAGATGGACTCACAATATAGTTTTATCTGAAAAAGTGAGCAGTGACACACAAAAGCTCATACCCTGTCACAGATTTTGTTAATCTTTAAGGTGCTACCAGACTCTTGCTCTTTTCCACTGCCACTGACTGATAATATGTGAATATATAACGGCATCTCAGAACGAGTTATATCATTGGTTCAGTATTTCCGGCTTTAGCTAGAAATTGCACATGAGCACATATTGCAGTCTGCGTGTGCAATGCTAAGCAGAGTTACACTGTTTGAAATCTACTGAAGTCAATAATACTGAGTAAGACCATTGATCTATCAAGGTCAATACTGTCTGACTGGTAGAGGCTCTCCACGATCTCAAGTGGTATATTACATAACCTACTACATGATCATTTAAACGGTAGATGTCAGGGATTGAACCTAGTACCTTCTGTATACAAAACAGATGTTCTACAACTGAGCCACAGGTCCCCCCACATAGTTCTCCAAGAGCTTAGGCAAGGTCATAGAGAGAGAGCTAGGCCTGTTGCTGGAGATTCCTCTTTAAAAGGAGATGCAAAAGACTGAACATGGAACAATATACATACACGCATATATGTGTGCTAAGCTATTGTCGCATCTCTTTTGGGCAGGGGTCATTTGGGGGGACGCGGGGGTACAATATACATACATGCATATATGTGTGCTAAGCTATTGTCCCATCTCTTTTGGGTATGAATCGGTCCTCTGCTGTGTTTGCATAGTTCTTTGAACAGTTTTCCAAGATGTGATTGTAAAGGAGTTTCTTATAATTAAATAAATGCAACTGACTGTGTTTTAGTTTTAGTAGTATAATTGGCATAGCTCCACTGAAAAACAACAAACCTAACTAGTAGCCATAATTCACCATGTAGCACAAGGCCCTAGAGATATCTCTCATACAGAAACGAATATGGATATTCAGTAATAGAGTTTTTGTAGCTGACCTATGAAAATATCAGTATGGTTATGTTGCAGTTATGACTACCTATATTAAACCGTCATCAAATATACTGGATTGAGAGAATCCAGCAAGATATGGGAGGAGGCACAGAACCACATGGACACATGAAGCTACCTTACACCGAATCAGACCAACAGTCCATCAAGGTCAGTATTGTCTACTCTGACTGACAGTGGTTTTCCAAGGTCTTTCATATCAACTGCAACCAGTCCTTTTAATCGGAGATGCCTTCTGCTTGCAAATTAGGTATTCTGCCACTGAGCCACTGCCCCTCCCCAGCCACGACCTCTTCACTTAGTGTTCTGTGTATTCAGAAAGTGAAACCAATGCCAACAAAAGATGTAGGAGGAAATGACGGAACAGTGGACAACCATATTTCAGAAAAATGGAGCACCAGCCTTGACCCATCCGCTCATTAGGAGAAAGATGGTGATTTGAAGTGAGGTTGAGAACCTAGATGAGTTCACTGTGTTTCTTGAGTTGATAACAAACTGTCATAAGTCTTTGAAGCATTAGCACTGATAGATGGCAAGAAAAGAAAAACAGAGCATATCCAAGTCTGAGCCATTTCAGATTAGGATACTTTTTATACAAATCACACACATTGTGAATTTCTGAAATATCCCTATATGTGATTTTAACACCACAATACTGATTACTGCATTTTGAAGATAGAAGCCACTAAAAATATTGCAGCTCAGTATGGGGTACTCGCATTCATTTTATATTGTATAATCTTAGGCTGCAGTCACACATACTAAATAATGCACTTTCAATCCTCTTTCAGTGCACTTTCCAACTGGATTTTACTGTGGGCAATTCTGCATCTAGCATTTGCTCTGCATTTTCTCAACTGGGAAGAAAAAGTCCAGCTCAAAACCACATTCAAATACCTCGGGGCAATGCTCTACTGACTGCAAAGTCACCCCTAAATGACCATAAAATACCCATAAATCTATGCAGAAGGTACAATAAAAATCCAATGATCAAAGAAAATGAAAGTGGCATGGAGTGTGGAGTCTACAATAAAACCAGATGATCAAATGAAGTGAAAGCAGCATGCAATACAGAGGGGAATTTCATAAAACAACAGAGGGAAAAGTCAATGCAGAATCAACCTGTGTGGACTGGCAAAACCCAGTTCGAAAGTGCATTGAATGTGGACTGAAAGTGGATTATTTAGTGTGTCTGATTGTAGCCTTAGTTTGGAACAGCCTGCAGCCTGTAATCACAGCAGCTGAACCATGAACAACCATTTCAGTTCAACAGGGGCAGGGACAATAAATTTGCTGATTGTGTATTTAGTTGAAAAGTGGGCTAAGAACAAAATCATTCTTCAGGAGGCCAGGTTAAGAGAAAGAAAAGCAAAACTCCGTGGATATTCCTCAAACTTCTGTGCGACAGGAAATCTTAAAGAGGAATTAAACAAATGGCTCCTGCAGACTCTTCGATCAGTAACAGAGACTTCAGAAGAGATAATCATCTTGGCCTTCTGAATCATCATATCAAAAAAAGCCCCTGAAGGCGCTTCACAAGACATAATTGTGCAGTTCAAGGAACTACAGACTAGAAACAAACTTTTTAAAAATAGTATGAGAAAAACAAGGACTGGCCCTTGAAGATACCAAGTGTTGTTTTTTTTTTTTTTGTATGCTGATGTCATTCCAGAAGTACTTATCCTGAGACAGACTACGTGAAACAGCAAAGACATTGAGAGAAAAAGTGATTCCCAACAGATGGTTAGTGCTCGGCCACCTGGTGGTCAATTTAAATAATAAA